GGTGCAAGTAGGTTGTAGTTCGATGGCTTATGCTTACGAAGGACCAGCAAATGATGTTTCCAATGGAAACAAGCACTTTAAAACACATTTATCTTAAAGTTTATTTCAAATCTTAACTATTTGCGTGTGCCCTGGGTCACACTACATCTCTTTATTTGTGTATACTGAGTGACCTCTTGTCTATTAAATCATCCTATTCATGGTTTTATTTACAAAATGTCAGAGGTGTCTACTGAGACTTCAGCTTTCCGCCACCTCTAGCGGTGCAACACTTCCTACAGACGAGCGAACAGCCGTACCACACGGTCCCCAGGACAGCTGAACAGACGGACAGCAGGAACGCAGCCACGTCCAGCAGGTAGTACTGGTACCACGGCAGCTCCGCGGCGCGTGCGCGGAGATGGGGCAGCCGGCCGTGTTGGATGACGTGTTCTATCCACCAGACGGCCCGCTCCATGGGTGACTGGGGCTGGTCACGGTGCAGACGGGACAGGCGGGCAGCCGTCTCACGGTAGCTGAGAAGGGTATACCATATAAGAAGGAGCAAGTCTCTCTCTGTCTTCACACACGCGTACACACGCGTACGTACACACACACACACACACACACACACACACACACATGTACACACACACACACACACATACACACGCGCGCGCACACATGTACACACACACTCACACACACACGCACACACATACACACACATATCGTATATTATTAAACTGATAGATAGATATAGAAAGATAGACAAATATAGGTAGATGTAGATAGATAGATAGATACGCACACAAATGCAAAGCTATGAAGTCGTCAGATTTTAACTCAAACTCTAGATCTTCTGTACGTTATACCTGTTGTTGGTAAGAACGTCAAGAATGGCCTGGTACAGCTGGTCGGCGGTGACCGTGCTGAAATCCAGCGTCACCCCCAGCCCCCTGGCCACCACCCGGGCGGCGTTGGCGGGCTGGTCCCCGAACAGCGGCAGGCAGACCACGGGCACGCCGTGGTGCAGGGCCTCGTACAGCCCGTTCGACCCGGCGTGGGTGACGAAGGTTCGGGTCTTTGGGTGGGCTACAACAAATGGAACAAGTGATTCATTTAGCAAATCGTCAGGAAAATATAGATACACATGTAGGAACCCCCAAATGAAAAACACAAAGACACAGAACCGTAATGTCCAAGCAGATGTCTGGCGGCAAAAGCGTTACGGTTAGAACGTACTGGCCATCTGGAGAGAGAGTCCTCAACCGGCCTCGGATGGCAAATGGGTACTGCCTGGCCATTTTGATACATGCATTGTCTGCAGCCACTGACGGTCCTACTTGGAGATTAACAGGACCGTATCCCATGAATGCTTGGTGCTTGTGTTTTATATCTCTTAGGTGATCCAATTATATCTTAGATCACTGCTATATTTTATCATCATTACTTCAATTTTTCTACATCCCCGTGTTTTATCTGTCTTCATCTTACCGAGTAGGTCGTTCTGAGGTAGCCAAGCCAGCAGTTTGGTGTTCTTGCCCAGCCCGGCCGGCTTCTCCCCCACGTAACGCCACACCACCTTCTGCCGGAGTCGGGCGAAGGCTGCCGCGAAGATTTCTCTCTTATCTTCCGGCATCGTCTTGACCACGGACCCAAAACTGACGACAATCATTCCATCGTCTCCGGAACGCTGGACAAACGCCTCCATGTCCTGGGAAAAGATAGATCACCATTTGTGAATCTTAATCACCAACATTTCATATTCGATATCCGCGGTCGGCGGGTACATGTACTAGCCTGACTAAACCTTGGGGTGGGGGTCATTAACCTCCGACAGAGATCTTGTGTAAACACGGGCTAGTACACGGACTAGTGCAAGAATAATCTCCAAGCAGATCTTTAGGTAGCTGCAAAGAGAGCTAAGCTCAACTTGGTTCCAGTTGCCAGACAGTGTCCAATAAGCATTGGATACAGTGACAAATGGATAATGTCATGACTCTTTGGCCAATTTAATAGTAGCACTGTCTTCGCGGCCACCTTAAGATCTGATCTGTTTGGATATTAGTGTAAGAACTCGCCTCTGTAAGTGGTGCGGCCGCACGGACATTCAGTCCCCCAACCTGAACCATGTTGGGCATGCTGGGACGAGGATAATCCTGCAGCAGATAGTCGGTTTGATAAAACCACAGGTCCGTACGTGACGTGACGCTCTGGATAGTTTCTTCCTCGCCGACAAACTTACGGACCAGTTCGTCATAGAGCCTACTCGCCTCTCGGCTTGCTATCACAGGTATGACAGTATACAAGACCGCGTTCTTAAGTCGCTGTGCAAAGGTCATGTCATCGGTAAAGTCGGTAGCCAAAAACGGCACGTACGACGGAGGGAGCGGCACACCTGTAGCCTTTTCGTCAAGAAACAAAGGATCCCCACGCATAACGCTGATGTGGGGAACCCGGAAGTCTATGTAGGCTGAGAGGATAGCGCCGCACGGAAAGATCGGGTCTGAAATAACGACGCTGTACGGGGACGCCCTCAGCCGGGCCAGCAGGGTACGGTCACCCAGAAGCAGGACACAGTGTTCTCTCAACTCTCCGAACATAGCGAAAAATACGCCTCTCTCTTCATGGCGAGATAATTTCCCGGCCGCAGAAAAAGCGTTGTCTTGCAGTGCCTTCAGCCTTGCGTGAGTTCCTCGGTCTTGGAACGTCTCGAATTGAAAGTCGGGCCACTCTGCCCGTTGTTTTGCCGCCATGCCCTCTGAAACAACCACAGTGACCACATGACCTCTGTCCAACAAAGCACGGCCGATTTTGGCCAGGGTTATCCAGTGGCTGTCACCTAACGGCGGGGGTACAAGCAAAACTCTCTCTGCGTCGCTTCTGTTTTCGATCAAGAAACAGAGGAAAACCAACAGAATGGCGGAACATCGAAGCTCCGATACAATTCCCATGTTGCTACCCTTGAGTCTTTTCCAACGAGGCAGGACAGGTGTTCAAATTCCATGTCACACACCAACTGCAAAGATGCAAACGCGGCGCGCGTACTTTAGAGGTCAAAGGTACAATGTGTCATGGTGCATGCCGGGAAACCCGACCTTTCACCTCTACGCACTTTACACCTGATGCTTC